CCACGGCGCGCCAGTCGAAGAGGGCGGCGTGCTGCGCCACCACCACGGCGCCGGTGCTCAGCAGCCCCATGAAGTCGGTGAGGACCAGGCCGCACAGGAAGGTGAGGAAGGACGAGCGAGCCTGCGAGCTGCCCTGCCGCGCGCCCGCCAGCACGCGCAGCGCCAGCAGGTTGGAGGCCAGGCCCACCAGGCAGAAGGAGGCGGCGAACCAGGGAGACGCGATGAGCCGCCGCTCCTCCAACGTGATGTTCGTCGGCCGGAAACAGGACCCCGGGGCGCTGCCATTGGGCCACATGGCACCGGAGCGGAGCGGGGGGGGGCGTCAGCAGCCCATCGGGCTGAGGCTGCAGGTGGGGCGGCGGCGGGCACTGGCGCAAGGACACCTGCGGGGGGCCGGAGAGAAGGCGCGCCGGTTACTGACGCCACGTTTTTATCTGAACGGCCTTAGCGGACCTTCGAGGCCCCAACGCAAACACCACCTTCTTCAGGAAGGCTTTGCGGATTCACCTCCCTTCCCGCTCATCAGCCTTCCCGTCAGTGCTGCCCCAGAGTCAGGGACGCTCAAGGCCAGGTCTAAGTGCCGTCTCCTCCTGGATTCTACCCCCGGAGGACCCGTGAGTTTCTGCCGAGTCACAGAGAAGGGCTTGAACTCCGACCCCGGGTGGCCACTCTGTCACCTGGGCCAGGGTTTCTTCCCTCTGAGCTTCCGTTTCCTTGCTGGTCTCCCATCGACACCCTGGGCGGGCTGCGGCCCCCAGGACAGACCTCAGCCTCAGTGAGACGAGATGCATCCAGCCTGGCCTTTGCACGGGCCCCGAGGTCGGCCTCATAGGTCACAATTTCTCGTGAATGCACGAGGGCGAGGCCCCGCCCGCGGGTGCTTTGGGACGATTCTGCCTCACACATGCTGAAATCATGCAGATTCCTTCCGCCCCGTTTTCATAGCATCTCTTTTGTCATGAGACCTCAATCCAGACACTCAGCTTCATTCCGGGAACAAAAATCCCCAGCTCGTTTGGAGAGACAGGTTCCCTAGGGACAGGCTATAAACGGCAGCAGGAGAGACCTGTTACCCCACCAGGGGCTGTGGGAGAAAACTGGAGACATCTGGGCCTGGCTGACGCAAATGTGATCAAAAAGGCCAGATGTGAGGATGTCCAGTAGTGATAAGATGAGACTATTCAACAAACGGCTCCCAGATCTGCCAAGGGACACTGCCAAGGGAGGACATAAGGCCACCCAGGGAGCCGGGGCTACCACCCGGGGCCCCAGCCTTCCGCACTGGGCACACACCACAGGTCGCCCTTGCGTCGGCAGGACCCTGGGTGAGGGTGCACCCGGTGGAGCGATCAGGGTGGTTTGGAGGTGGAGAGGCGGGACCATGGGAGGGATGCAGGAGCCGGGAAGTCAAAGCTCACAAAGGCCCTATGATGATCTGCCTTGTGCAGAGGGGGCAGACCAAAGCACAGAGAGGTTAACCAGCTCATCCAAGGTCACACAGCCTGGCCGGAGCAGATCTGAGATTTAAACTCTGGCCTCATTACATACATACAGAGATGTGTAGGTGATTCAAAAGCCTGCCCATCAAGCGGAGGCTGGGCCAGGTGGGGGTAGGGCTTCGCGATCGCTGCTATGTTCTCTAAGTGGGTACAGAATTTTCTAAAACGTTGGTCAGTCCAGATTCGCATCCTGGCGTTGCCACCTACCCTCTCGATGACCTTGGGCTCCTCACATCCCCACTCTGAGTCTTCCGTTTCCCTCCCTGTAAAATGGGGCTCATGGTGGGAATGAGTTCACCCCGGTACAGGGCGTAGCACGCTGTAGGCGCCCGATTCATGCACAAGCGCCCACTGGGTAGCTGCCGGCCCTCACTCCCCACCTCAGTACTTGGCGTCCTGGCCCGGCCCTGGGCTCCATGACTCCTTATCGAGTCTCATAAATTATCCAGCTCCCGACAGCTGCCCTGAGCTTCCCTCCCAGGCTGAGTGCCAAGGCCACCACCACTTCCGTGGGGGTGGGGCCTCGAGTGGGGAAACTGAGGCCTGGGGAAGTGGGGCGGGCAGACGGGTGTTTTCCATGGTGACCGGCGACCTTGCCCCTGCTCCGGGCCAGGGGTGTGCTCTCTGCCATCTCGGATTTGTCCCACACTTGACTTCCTCCTGTGACAGTGCGCTCCCTCCCTTGAGAGCTGGTATGCGCCAGCTTCAGGACATTCCTGGGGACTTGAGCTGTGCCTGCAGCCACTGCCCAGGCGCTGCCTGGAGTGACCGCCAGCCCCTCTTGGGTCTCGTGGTCCCCTTGTCCCTACCCTACTGCGGGAGCTGCTGCACCACTCACTCACCTGGTGACACCCCCCACCCCCACCCCTGAGGCTACTGTACGCCTCCGATGTCTGGGAGCAAACCTGTGACCCAGAGCCGTGGCCTGGGGGAGGCTGGAAACTGGCGCGACTCCCTCTGGCCGCGGCTTTTGGTTTCCAGTCCCCTGCCCTCCCCCGGGGTTCAGCTGATAGTGGCCATCTTAAGTTCTCCAGGCAAGCGGGCCAGTAGGGTCCCCTGGCCTCCCTTCTTCTCTCTCATTGGCTGGGAGGGCTGGCCGGGCCCCTCCCCTGCAGGGGGCCACATAGGCAGGGCTGTGTGGCCCCTGGGGACTCCATCTCTCTCTCTGTGCCTCATGGGAGGCACGGACTCCAGCGTCCCGCCCACCAGATCTGCTGGACAAGCCCAAGATTCCATGGCCCTAGAGCAGAGAGGCGTGGACTCGGAGGGTCCGGGGTTCTAGAATTCGAACGAGTTCCCAGTCTGGAACCTGGAAGGCCTCCAGAGTCGGGAATTTCAAGGGGCCGTGTGTGGTTCCAGAATTCTGGCAGGAGTTTGGCTGGGTCCTGGCTTCCAGAAATCTGTCTCAGAAACTGTCTCCTTCACCAGAGGCTGGACAGTCGATTTTCTCTCAGCTCACCTCAGTGAAGCTGGGCGGGGGGCCCATCCGCCTGTCCCAGGGGCCCGGGCGCTGGCAGCGGCGGGGCCCTCCCCATGCCCAGCCTGGTGGAATGTGACACGTTGGCTCCCAAACGCCAGGCCCCTCCTCTGACTGCTCATCCATCACTGCCCGTCTCATTCCCTTGCTCCTCCTTTTAGTGAGACATCCATCTCTCAACGACTTCATCCCTGGCCTGCCCAGCCTGCCTGTCTCCATGCCCTGGGCCCACCCAGCCTCCCCCAGGGGAGGATGCTGACCTCAGACGGGCTCGGACTGGAGTCCCTGATGTGCCACTGTCAAGCCGGGGAACAGCCCTGCCGAGCCTCAGTTTACCCCTCCACGAAATGGGGATGACGAGGACTCCGGCTCGCCTGCCAGAGCTCCGGCCGGTCCTCCCGGGCCTGACGTGCTCCAGCCCCCTGTGGCGGGACCTTTGCCTCAGCCGTGCCCCTTACACGGGGCGCCCTTCCTGCTCCTGGCCCTGCTCACGGGGCATCTGCGGGAGGGAGCCCATGTGTGACCTGCCCGGCTCGGCCCTGCCCCTGGCCCGTTTCCCACATTTCCTGTCCCCTAACTACAGGACAGTCCAAGAGACCGCGGCCGCCTTTTATCATGAAGGTGCAGGGGCCAGGCCAGTCCTTGCCTCGGTCAGTCTCAGCCCAAGCCTGGGGCGTCCCACAGCCCACAGTCCCCATGCCCTGTGGGCACAGACACATGGACACGCGCATACACGCAGAGCCACCCTCATTCCTCAGGCCCGACCCCGCCTCCCCTCACTACGGGCTCGGTTTCCGGGAACTTTTCCTGTTTATGACACCGACCAGGCCCCCACCCCGGAAGGAGCAGAGCGGGGGTTCTTCCTGGAGCCTGGCTAGCATGAGGCTGAGCCTGCACCCCGGCTCACGTAGTCCCTCGGAGCCTCTGATGGGCGTCTTCGCAGTGCTCCCCACTCGGGGGGGGGGCACCTGAGAGTGTAGGTGTGAGCTGAGGGGAGAGGACCCCGGCCACCTGGCCAGTGGCTCGTGATGGACAGGAGAGTTACCGTGATTATACAGCCCGTTGCAGGTACACGTGCACACACACACTCACTCCCAGCCACAGCCGGGCCTTGGCACCCTCCCTGTGGCACCACAGGGCCCTGAGTGGCCCGCAAAGACCCGGGGGAACCCACAGGCAAGCACATTCTCAGTGCGCTGGGACACAGACAGCCACACATGGTCGTACATGGCCCAGGACAGGCAGCGGAAGCTCTGAGTCTCACCGACACTCCAGGACACCGCCCAGCACCTGGCTGCTGTTGTTGGCCAGGGCGACACACCCACAGCAGGGCCAGGAAACACCCCAACAACAACGGCTCACTCAGGCCCCGCCCCTAATCTGGCCAGTAGCGTCCTCACCTGGCGATGCTGACTGGCGGCGCTGGTGTCACACCGCTGTCCAGAAGGGGAAGCCTGCGCAGACGTGCGGGTGCTGGTCCCGGCCAGGGAGCGGGCGGAGCAGACTGGCCCGCCCTCCTGGGGCTTCTGGGGAAACCGAGTCACGGAGAGGGTGGGCCCACAGGGGACTCTGGGGCTGCCACTTCTCCGGTGCCACAGGACTCCCTAGTGCCCGGGGTCCTGGCGGCAGGAAGGGCGAGGTCCCCTCTGGGCCTGGAGAGGGGTCCGCGGGGACTAAAAATAGCCGGGACCGGGGGCTGCGCTTCGCAGCCGGCGCCCTCTGGGTCTCTAACCGCGTCTTTCGAGGTCTCTGTCTTTCAGTCGGTCTGTCTCTCATCAGCCCCGCCCCCCTGCGCTGGCCACGCCCCTAAGGCCCCGGCGGGGCTGATAGGGGTCAGCGGGAGACCCCCAGCCGGCCCGGGAGACCGCGTGGACTTCTAGGGGAGGGGCGCCCGAGGGACCCCAGACCGCAGGGGCAGGGGTGCGGTGGCCGGGCTGGCAGGCGCCCTTTGAGAGCACCCCCCCAGCCGCCCCGGCCAGGGCCCCTCCAGGCACTCCTGCCGCATTATTCACCGTCTGCACAGCACCCGAGGCCGGCAGGGGCGGGGCAGGGGCCGGGCAAGGCTGGGTCAGTCAGCTCCCGAGGGTGCCCAGACCCTCGCCCAGGGTCTTGCTGCTGCCAGGTGGTGAGCCCGGTAGGGTTTGGTCTGGCACGCAGTAGGTGCCTAATCACTGTAAGGTCGATTTGAGTGCCCTGCCAGGGCTGGGCAGTGGGGCGCAGGGTGTTTGGGGGGAGGGGCGACCAGACTCCCCAGCCAGAAGCTCGGTTGGCAGCCGGCTGAGCCGCCTTCCTGCAGCAGGTGAGCCGGGAGGGCTGTGGTCATTGGAGGGCGCTCCTGGGGAGAGCACAATGAGACAAAGGTTGGGAGATGGCACTGGGGCCAGCGATGGTGGGAAAGCCCCTGGCGGAGCCAGCTGCAGTTGGGATGGGGAGCTCCGTCCCCCACACCCTCCTCCGACCTCCGGTGCAGTGTGGGTAAGTAAGGAGACTTGGCGTCTGTCAGTGCAGAAATGATTCAGAGGATGAGGCCAGGCTGCAGGAACGGGGCCCTGAAATGGGCTCCCTAGGCAGGGGATGGCTTCCTTGAAAGCCCTCAGACATTCTCAGGGCTCTGGGCCAGGGTCTCTTCGGCCCAAAGCCGTGCCGGCGAGGGCAAGCAGGCCGGGCGCCACCAGGGCAAAGGCCGGGAGGCTGTGTTGTGCTGCGGGAAAGCGAGAAATTGCTGGAAGGCCCTTCCCGCCCGCAGCCCAGAGGCCTCAGCTGTGTGAGGGGGTCCACAGGCCTGCGCAGGGAGGGGTGACTTTGGGCCTTTTTGGCCCACGGTTGGGGCTCAGAGTGGGCCAGGATTAGCTGGCTTGGCCTTGACCCCACCTACTCAGTCTTTGGGGCCTGGAGGGGCACAGGAGTGCAGGCTCTGAGCGAAGTTAGACTCCAGCTCTGGACTCCCTTAGGCTGTGTCTGGAAGCCCCTTCTCTGGCTTCCTCGCCCATCATCCTTTGCTTACAGCCCCCACCCCTCCAGATGGCCCCTCCCCTGTTCCAGCCCATTGCCTGAGTCCCTGAGCCATTTAACCCTAACTTCTCTTCCTTGGCAAGGAGTCTCGCCAACTCCTATGCATCTGGCAGAGCCCTGGCTCCCAGGGTCCCCGCTCGGTAAAGCCTTGATCGCTCAGGCAGGCTTGTCCTCTCACCTCTCATCAAGGGCACCTCTGGGTCTGGCCTATGTGCTGGGACAGTTCTGAGCCCAGGTAGGACTAGATAGATACCAGACTTGCATTCAAGGACCCCCCAGGAGGGAGAAAGACAGCTGATCACAGACAGTTCCAGCCCCCTGCAGTCAGGCTGGGCCAGAGGAAGTGGTGGGGCATAGCGGAGCCCAGAGGCACCCTGGGGGCAGAAGGCATAAGACTGGGCCTTTGTGGGATGAGTAGGGGTTCCCCAGGTCCAAGCAACATGGCAGAAATCACAGGTGGAAAACTGTGGAGGCGAGAGAAAGCATGAGGCTTTGGGGACCGCAGGGAGGGAAGATGTGGTGGGAGGGTAGGGGGCTGGGGCTCCAGATGGCGAGGCTGTGGGGGGGGAAGGTGGGGGAAGGATGGAGGGAGACATTCTAGTCCCACTTCCTCTGCCGGGAGATAAGGAGGACAGAGCTCTTTCGGGGGAACAGCCAGGGCGGGGATCAGAGAAGCGCACTTGACCCAAATGTATTCTTGGGTCCCACCAGTTCTTCAAGGCCGGGGTTAAAGATACTCATTTGACAGATGGGGAAACTGACACCTTGTGGAGGAAATGACACAGCCAAGGCCACAGGTAGGAGGGATGTGAACTTGAGCTCTGGGCTTCTTCCAGCCCAGGGCTGATGTCTGAAAGTCTGCTGGCGTCTGTCCACCCCTGCTCAGCTCGATGGGCATATGAAAGGCTTGGGAGACTTTGAGGTGGCCTGGGGGGCCAGATGGTGCGAACAAAGGCTAGGCTAAGGATGTGCCTCCTGTGGCTGTGGTTTCCGGTGGGAGCCAGGCAGGGAGCGTCTATTTTTAGCTCTGGACAAAGCTAAGGGCAGGAAGAGCCTGGGGTGGGGGCTGGGGGCAGCCTAAGGGACACCAGTGGACCTCGAGCCAGGCTGGGGACAGTGGGGCAGCTGGATGAGTGTGGTACCTCCAGTCTGCCTGAGGGGTCTCCCTGACATTGTGCTTGTGGCCCTGCCCAGCTCACTCACCAAGTATGACTCCCCAGTGCACTGGGCTGAGTCTGGCTCCTGGGCTGGCACTCAGCCTTGCCGTGTCCCCTGCACCTGCTGCCTCCTCCCCTGACCAGCAGTGCTCCTCCACGGAGCCTTCAGTGCTCCTTCTGGGGTCCTCCAGACCCAGTGCTTTGCCCCTAGCCCCAGTCTGGCTCCTTGGGCTGCTGGTGTCTGAGCCCAGCTCTCGTCCTTCCAGACCAGGAGATCCTGGCTAAACCCACCCAGCAAGTTGTGGCGAGGGCACGACCACTGTGTGCCCCTGCTCACTACAGCTGCCTCCCTTGGGGTTGGCATACTGCCCAGACTGCAGGGGGTACTTGAGGAGAAACTGGGATGCTGAGGCTGGGAGGACTCCTCTGGGGACAGGTGAGGAAACAGGGTGGGACATGGGTGGTAACCTGGAGGGGGTGGGGCTCTCCAAGTTGGAGAAACCCAGATTTGAGCCCTGCCACTTACTGGGCTTGAAAACGTGGGCCCCTGGGAGCGTGTTTCCTCAAGCGGGTGGAAACCGTCTTGTAGGATGGTGAGGTCTAGGCTGGGCTGCGACAGCTACACACAGCCCATGCTGTGAGAACAGCGTAGGGCCTCACCCATCTCCCAGCCCAGCCCTTGAGGCACACAAGTGCCCCCAAGGGCCTGTCCTGCACCATGCACAGCAAGCAGGCCACGGATTAACTGGAAGTGGCTTCTGGCTGCCTGGAGAATGTGCAGAGAATTCCAACTGCTCTGGCAACCAGCGACTGATTAGTGATGTCCGCCAAGGGCCCGGCAGGGTCCACAACAGAGAGGGTGCCCTTGACCTGCCAAGGGCCCGGCAGGGACAGCAATGGCCCTGTGCTGCCGGTGGGTATGCTCCAGGCTGGTGGGCCGGCAGGGTCCACAACAGAGAGGGTGCCCTTGACCAGATGCACTTCCGCGAGCCCCTGGCCTAGGCGAGCAGCTACTACACTCGAGCAGCCGTGGTCCAGGTGAGCGTGCACGAGGGCCCCCTCCTCACGGGAGGCAGATGGAGGACACTTGCGTCGAGAAGCTGCCTAAGGAACCACTGTCGACTGCTTTTAGGTGCTGTGATTGTTTTAAAAGGTCTTCTTGGTTGGGTTTTTGGGCCTTAGTTTTGACAAATGTGTCACGGTTACATGAGACACTTACAACGGGGATGGCTGGGTGTGGTAACTCTGGGCTATCTAGCATTCCCGAAAATCTAAAATTATTCTAAAATAAAGTGTTTATTAAAAAACCATGCACTCTCCTGAGTCGACAATTTAAATGAAAATAAACAAGATTTCTCCCCACATGCCTAAAAAAGTCTTTTTAGGAAACAACCTAAAATATTTCCAGATGAAACTGGGTGTTGGCTGGGGCTGTCCCAGGGGCCTGGAGGTGGCACTTCAGGGTCTGGGTCTGGGGCAGGGTCCTCCCACTGTAGGCTGGAAGAATCTGTAATAAATTGTTAAAAATATTCCTGGGGTCGGCCTGCCTGGGGAACTGCTGACAATCTGGCTGTGGGGGAGTGGCTGTCCCTGTCAGACATGGGGCAAGGCAGGCAGCTCCGTGGTGGAACACAGCTGTCCTGAAGGGAGGGGACACCCAGCGGGATGGGGGTACCACGGAGGCTGGGCTCCTGGGAGCTTCTTCGCTCAGCAGCCGAGCAAGGATGTTCCCCATGGCCCTTGGTTCCTGGATCTGATGGTGGACAATGTGTCCTTCACGCCCGCTTGGGGGGGTGAATGACCCCAAAGCCAGCACCAGGGGTGACGTGGGAGGACCGCAAGACTTGGAAATCCCTCCGACATTCTCTGGAAAGTGCATGGCAAGGCTCCGGCGTCTGCTGCTGTGGGCTCCATGGGAGCCCAGCTGACAGAGCGGGAGCGTGGGTCCTGCGGCCACTGGCCGAGTGCCAGGCCAGTCAACGCTGGCTCTGGTTTCCTGCGCCCCGTGTCCAGGCCCCATACCGCAGGGCCTGTCCCAGAGTGGGGCTTGGGCCGAGTCTGCCCACATGGACAGCGAGTTTGGTCGGCACCTGCTGGGTCCCCTGGGCTCCGAGAACCCCCAGCGGCAGCTCCTGCCTGTTGGAACCCTGGCCCAGCCTGTCCTGGTCATCCCCCCTGCTCGCCAAGGAGGTTCCATTGTGACCTGGGTCCATACCGAGAAAGTGAGGCCAGGGAGGGGCAGGCCCAGCCCGAGGGGGGCTGTGAATGGGCCGGGGGAAGCTGCTGGCCCCGCCGCCGCCAGCAGGTGGGCCATCACCGCCGGTAGCGGTAGCGCTTGAAGTGGAACCAGAGCTGGAAGATGCCATTGGCGAACTGGCAGCGGAAGCCGTGGCGGTGCGAGTACTCCCACTCGCGGTTGACGATCTTGAAGGCGATGTCCTCGTAGGGCGGCCCCGCGTGGAAGCGCAGGGTGGCGAAGTCCTTGTTGTCGGGGCAGGCCTCCAGGAAGTACTCGGGCGTGGAGCGCTTGTCGATGAGGTCGGGGTAGAAGATGTTGAACTTGTAGCCCTGCACGATCTTGGGCGGCGGGTTGTCGAAGTCGTAGTGCGTCTGGTTGTACTTGTTCCACTCGAAGCCCGTGTGCACGCGGTTGAAGAAGCGGGGCTTGCGCGGCCGGTACTTGTCGGCCCACAGGTAGGCCTTGCCCGTCAGTGGCATCTCCACGCTGAACTGGGCCTCGTCCTGGCCCATGCCCTCCTTGGCCCGCCGGAAGAAGATGTCCTCCGCGCTCTCGCTCGCGTCGCCTGCGGACAGGGCGGGTGTCATGGGGTCGGAGGCTCCGCTGAGCCTCAGCCTCCCCGCCTGTCCCACCCACCAGGCCACTCACAGAAGACCTGGGGCTCGGGGGCAAGGCACTGGGAGGGGGAGGCCCCAGCCCTCCACGTGCCACTTGCCCTGGCCATCTATGCTCATTGTGCTCCTCGGGCACCAGACACCATGTATCCCCTGCTGAGTGGCCAGGCAGCCGGGGGATTAGAGACTCGCAGGGGGACCCCAGGCAGGGGCCTTTCTGAGGCCACTTCTGCAGACCCAGGATGAAGGGCCCAAGGAGGCCGAGGTCCCTGTTGGTGAGCAGCAGAATGAGCTCACAGCAGGGCTGGACACAGAAAGTAAAACCACCACCTTGTCCTTCAGGCCAGCAGGTCGCTGTCCCCAAATGAACGAATAGTTAAGAGTCCACCATCAACATCCCCTGCCCCACTGCCCCAGCAACCTCTTGCCCCGCCCCTCGCACTGGCCCCGCCCCCACCACTACATGTGCACCCCTGGCCTGGTTTGCCCCGCCCCTTGTGCTGGCCCCACCCTCCCCAGCCGTGCCCACGGCTGTACACACCGGTGACCTGAAGCTGCTGCCTGGAGAGCTGCAGGCGCTGCAGATCCTCGTCAGGTTCCAGCACGTGCGCGTCCAGCGGCAGCTCATGAGCGGAGAGCAGCCGGGGGCTGTACTTGCCGGCGTCGTAGTCGTCCAGGCTCTGCTGGATCAGGTCCTCCTCCATGAGCACCGCTTCCCCCTCGGCCTCCGCCTCCCCTTCTGCAGGCGCAGCCCCGTCTGCCTCAGGCTCGGGGGAGCCACCCTCGGAGGACGGCCCGGGAGGGGTTGGAGCCGGGTCCTCGGGCTCCAGGCTGCAGGAGAGAAGGCTGGGCTGGGTGGGTGGCGTGTGGCTGCCCCAGCCCTCCAGAGGTGGGTGGGCCCCCCAGTGGGGAAGGGGACTTCCAGGCTGGGCCCACCTGTGGCCAGGAGACGGGGGCTCCTGCTTGAGGATGGGGAACAGCGGCTCGCTCTCCACACCCTGCTCCTGCTTCAGCTTGTAGAGCTTCTGCCGCAGCACGTCCTGGTGCCGCTCGCGGAGCCTGGAACGTGGGTCTGGTGGTCACCCCAACTGGGGGAGGGCCCTGCTCCCCCTCAGGTTTTCTCATGACCCTACCCCCCACTTCGCTGCAAGAACACAGAGGTTTAGAGAGCGCTAAGTAGGTACACACAGGTTGGGACCTCAGCCTAGTATATTACAGTCCAGATTAAAAGCTCTAGCCATGAGGAAAAAAGGGGATTCGGGGTCACAGACCCTGGACAATTGTTCCCTTGCCGGGTGGGCTTGGTCTGTGTACCAGGGCATTCACATGCGGCGTGACCTAATGGCCAGGCTGGGCGGAACTGGCCGTGGAGCAAGCGGGGGGAAGAGTCAGGGGCGAGGACACAGCCACCGCAGACAGGCGCTGTGTTTACACGGCAGTGCCAAGCACGCCGAGAATCCGTACACAGGCTGTGGGGCTGGCGGAAGGCAGGGACAGGCGGCCTGAGGGCTTCCTGTGATGCCTGCTGACCCCACGGGAAACAAAGGCCAAATACTCAGTACAGATCAAGAGCAGGAAGGCCACTGCGGGAGGCCCTGCCCGACTCCCAGGGCCCCTAACCCCAGATGGGGGGATGGGAGCATAGCAGGGGCCTTCTGGCTGGGGCCCCCAATGTTATTCGTAGCCAGTCCCGCCCACTGGGCCCAGTGGAGATGGCTCCCATCCCCTGGACAAGATCCTGAGAGGGATGAGGTGCGCACAGGACAGTGCCCAGTTGAGGTGACGAAGGCGTGCGCCCACTCACCTGGCACGCGCCATGTGGGCACGCAGCTGCTGCAGCAGGCTCTCCCAGTAGCCCATGTCCAAGTTGGGGCCCCCAGCCCGAATCTTGCCCTCGATGCCCTGGAAGATGACCTGCAGCTGGCTGTACGTCTTCCCCTTGAAGACCGACTGCACGTCGGAGCTGACTGACGCGTTGACGCCCTCTCGCCGCTCGCCTGCGGTGGGGAAGGTGTGTGTGCGCATGGCCCGGGGCTGGCGCCACCTACTCTGCCCCAGATCCCGTGGAGGAGCCAGGAGGGTTCACCTGGCAGCCAGACTGCTGGAATTCAGATGCTGCTCTGCTAGTCCCAGCTGTGTGACCTTGGGCAACTGGCTCGCCCTCTCTGGGCCTCAGGTTTCCCCTCTGTGGCCCAACGAGACCACGGATGTGAGCGCCGGGCTCTGCCTAGCGTGGAGAACGCTCACCGCAGCGGGAGGGCTGCTGGTTTCCCAAGTGCCACGTGAAGTCCTGACCCCGCGCTGAGACAAACGCGCCCCTCCGTCCTGCAGGGGAGTCTGTCCCAGCACCTAACGCAGGCTGGGGGCCCAGGTACGTGTCCCTTTCCTCTACACCGAGAAGCCACCGAGGATGGACTGACGCTGCCCTACACTATGTGCTTGAGCACAGGAACCTCGCTCGAGCTCCTCACGATGCCCTGCCCGCCCCAGAGCCTTGGCACGTGTGCTGCTCACCAGCAGCAGCTCCCATGCTCGGTGCTCAGTGAGAATGTCCCTTCTCCTGTTCCCAGCCTCCCTGACACCCAGGTTGCTTGCCTGGCTGCCCGCCTGTGCGGCCCTCTCTAGGGCAGGCCCTCCCCGGGCTTCTGGCCGCTGTACCCCCAGCACGGGGCTGGGCCTGGGTGGAGACCACGCACAGCTGCCGGGTGGATGACGGGTGGGCGACCAGCTTGCGCTCCCTGCTAGAGAGTGGGTTTCAAAGACCCCTGCCACCACACACACGGTCGCAGCTGATCAGAGAGGGTCGAGAGGGGCCCGAGTCCCTGCAGCCAACCAACCTGAGACCTTGGCATCTAGAGCCTCAGGCCCTTCACTGGGCACCGGAATGGCCCTAGGCAGCACTGGACTCAGTGGCCAACCCGCAGGCCAGCAGCCTGGACCCAATCTGTGACAGGTGCAGAAACAGTGCAGGACCAAAACCAAATTCTGCGACAACTCACACCCCAGGCCAAGCAGGACCACGTCGTGCGCCTGCTTACAGATGGAACCACTGGTGAAAGCACACAACCCAGCTGCTCACTGGCGCCTCCCCCAGACACTGGCGCTGCCAGGGCACATTTAAAGGGAGCCGGGTCCCAGGCCTGGACGCCGCCCGAACGGCCTCTGACAGGGCCTGCTAGACTGTGCGAGGGACAGAGACTGTCCGTCACACTGAGCAGAGCACTCTAGGGCAGCAGGCAGCGCCGTGGAAAGAGGGGCCGCTGGGGAGGGCGCAGGGGCGTCTGGGGACCCGCTTCCTCCTGCACGTGCTGTGTTCAGTCAGAACTTCCCAGGGGAAGGGAAGGAGGGAGTGGGGTGGGAAGGAGCCCAGCGGAATGAAGATGACAGCGCCCGGCAGGTCTCCAGGAACGGTGCGGTCAAGGGCTCTCCACTCCCTTCTCTTAGAGATGTTGCAGAAATAACGCTCAGCTCCAAGGACACCTGGAGCCACTCAGGACCCCTGCCGTAGCACGTGAGGGGGTACAGCAGACAGAGAAGGGGTAGGAAGTACCAGAAAAGGGACCGCTAGAGAAGACTGTGAACTTGGCGCCCAGGGGCTTTGGAGGCTGGCAGGGATGTCCCCTCAGCCAGTGGGGCCGGGGTCTTCTGCCTCTGAAGGACATACCCAGCCTCGCTGCCACCAGCCAGAGGGAAAGCAGCATTTCCCAGCAGGCAGGACGTTAAAGAACTTCTTGCCTTTCTTCAGGATGCGCCCCACCAAGACAAGGGCACAAATCAAAAAAAGGGAGACGTGGGGTCCTAGAAAGAGGCACTCCCTCACTGGAAAGAGTAAAGGGAGCCCCCGGAGGTGGCAGACAAAGGGCCTGGGGACAAGGGAAAGGAGGCCTGATGGCTTCCTGGTATGTCTGAGCACCTCCAAGTCTCGGCTGAAGGCCGGGATTGGAGGTGGACCGTCACTGTCACGCGCACAGATGCTATTTCAAGTGTTTGACATGACACTATTTACCCATTTCTCTCCACCTAGACCTCCTGGCAGAATTTTATCATCCTCACGTGACAAAAGGGACAACTAGGCTCCCAGGAGGCAGCCAACCAGCTGAAGTCGCTGAACTGTTCGGCAGCCTGGATTTGCACCCAGAGCCAAGCTCGTGAGGGTCACTCTTCACATCGGCCCCGCAGTGCCCTTCTAAGCAGTTCTATACCCAGCCCCACGGCTACCAAAGGAGACTTCGGGACACACATTTCCGATGACAGAGTTTCCCTTCCTGTCTCCGGAAGCGACAGTGGGACGCGCCTTGTTAAGGAGAGAGCAGCAAAACTCCATTTACAGAAGTAAAGGATGTTCGTCCTTTTTCTAAGAGGAAGGAAACCATTCTGACCCACATCTGGGCAGCAAACGTCACACGGGCCAGGGAGAGAGAAGGCACGTGTCCTTGGCCTCCAGAAGTGGGCGATGAAGGAAGGAGCTTAGCGTCAGGGACACGACACACCACAGATGGGCCTGCTGCAGCTGGTCATGAGCTTTTCAAGCAGGGGTTCTCGACTAGGACGACTCTGCCCCCGAGGGCGCTTGGCCCCATCTGGGGATAGCTGCCTGTTACACTGGGGTGCTCCTAGCATCAAGTGGGTGGGGGCGGGGACACTGCTCAGCAGTGCAGAGCTCAGGACAGCCCCACAAGCGTGACCTGGCCCAGGGCCCACGGTGCCGAGCACAAGAACTCTGGCTCTGGAGTGCATCTCCTGAGCAATTCTCCCCCACACAGAGCCTCGGGAGGAAACGTGCAGCCTGAACAAAACAGCCCTGCAGCGCCCTGAGCTTCTAGCCCCCACGTACAGGGAGCCCCGCCCTCTGCGGAGAGCCCCAGGCCCAGGACCTGCTGCCCGGCGCTGCCCCCTGGTGGCTCTCGGCGGCCTCCAGAGAGCTGTGGGGAGCCCAGAGCGGGAAACTGAGGCCTGCAGAGCTGCCGAGGCTTCCCGTGGAACCACTGGCCCTTGGCAGCTCCCACCAACCCAAACACGCATCCCTGTGTCTTTCTGGTCACCGGCCTGGGGTTGGAGCCCGCCGTTACCTGGCCCCTTGCCTGAGGCCTCCAGCTTGCGGAGCTTGGCGATCTCGTCCTCCGTGATGATGGTCATGTCGCGCCAGAAGTCCACGTTCTTGCCCTGCTCGAGTTCCATGTACACCTGGGGGCCGGGGTGCAGAGGAGAGGGGTGACGGGACATCCAGGGGACGTCCTGGTACGGCTGGCGGGGCAATGGCAGGGCAGTACCTGGATATCCTCCAGCAGGTCCTCCATGTCGGCCACCGTGAGGCCATTGAGGAAGGTGTAAGGCTCGTGCATCTCCACAGCCAGGTCGTCGTCCTCGGCGCTGATGTACTTGGCCAACAGGTCGATGGGCTTGGCCCGCCCATCCCGGATGCGGATCTTGGAGCTGCAGGGGGAGGGTGGTGGTGGTGTCAGAGCCCAGGGTGTGCCCGCCCTCCTGACCCTGCCCACAGGGGATACTAGTGTGGGAGCCGGGGGAGGAGCCGGCCTGAAGGGGAGCTGGTGCGGGAGCCTTTTGGGAAGAGGCGTCAGGTTGGGGCAAGCCGGGTGAGCCGGATGCAGAGGCCCCGGAAAGGGCAGGGACAAGAGCGAGTGTGGGCTCTGAAATGCAGTGAGAGCAGAGCCCGAGGGTGGGGACCGAGGGAGGACCACCTCCTGTTAGGGGGTGGGCGGCCCAGGCTGGAAGGTGCAGAGCCTCAGTGCTGTGCCCTCGGGAACACGTGACAGAGGCCGACCCTAGTCTGACCCGAGGGAGCCTCCAGACCAGGCAGGTCTGAGCCCTGGGCCAGGACAGGTGCGGCCGGTGGGCAGGAGACAGGGGGTGCACCAGCGACAGCTCTGCGCACAAAGTGGGGGCTGGTGCCAGAAAGGGGACTGAGGAGAGTCCTCCCGAAGAGGCGGCAGGCAGAGATCCAAAGGGCAAGGGGCAGCAGCCAGGGCAGTGGGTTCCAGGGAGTGTGAACAGCAAGCGCAAAGGCCCTGCGGCAGACCCGGGCTCCATGGGTTTGGGCCCAGAAGCAGGCTGGAAGCGGAGGGAGGAAGCACGTGGTGTGGGCGGGCCCCGTGCCCCCTACTCGCCCGCGCACCGCAGCTTGGCCTGCTGGAGGTGGAAGTTGTCCTCCTGCTCCTCCCAGGTCTTGAAGTGCTCGGCCTCCTTCTCCCGCTGCAGCATCTCCAGCTCCTGCTCACGCATGGCTTTCTCGCGCTCCCGCTCCAGCCGCAGCTGCTTCACCTGGGGGCGCAGGGGGAGGATGAAGGCGGGACAGCTGGACGATGAGGGTCCCCTGGAGTTGGGGGTGGGATTATAACCCAGGCCTGGCACCAGCCCTGGCCACAGGATTGGTCCAGGGCTGCCTGAGGTTTCGGACGGACCACGGGCAGGAGGGACCCCCTTTCTCCTGGAGACCCAGCAGCCTGGAGTTGGAGGGACCATTTCCGCTACCCTGAGAGGGACATCTGGGAGTGAAGCCTAGAGGCCGGCAGAGCCGAAGTGGAGAGAAACTGCTCGCTGCAGACACTGCCTGAGCCCCTGGATCCAGCCGTGCCTGAAGTCAGGCTCCCTGGAACTTTCTCCCTAAGCCAATCAGGGCCTGTTTGGTTCAAGCCGGGGTGAACCAGCCCTGGGGCCCTGGCGAGGGAAGGCCTCCTGACCCCGTGAGGGCGGGCCCAGGGCGCCCTACCTTCTGCAGCTCCAGCCGATTGTCCTCCTGGATCCTCTTGTTCCGCTCCTTCAGCTCCTTCTCCTCCAGGTGGCTGATCCCCTTCTTCTCCAGGGCCTACAGGTCAACCACACGCCTGCTGAAGCTGCCTCCCCACGCTGCCCGCCCCGGCGACACCCAGCAGGGAGCTTCGGCACACTGGCTGTGAGGATGACCAGGCCGCAGCATCTGCTTTGCTGACGAGAGGCCACACCTCACCGCCTCCTACTAGAAGACGTGGCCCCCCCATGCCTACAGAACTAACTCGATATGCTCCCAGCTTATGGAGCCCCGTCTACCACGAGCAAGACGCATGCTGAGACGGAGGCCGCGGCCAGCTCCGCGGGGCTCACGGGAGCCTCACTTGGGACCCAATGGCTCTCCTCACACAAAAGCCTGGCCGCACCGGCTGCGTGGTGTCCTCGCCCTCAGCAGCTGAGAGCCCGGCTGCCTGGGGGCGGGCGCGGGGGTGGACAGGACAGGAACGGCGACTGAACGAGAGGGAGACTCTGCTGGCACGCTTGCCCGGGGTCACCACCGTGGCAATGATGGTCCTGAGCTCATAGATCCTCGCGGAGCCATTAGCTCAGTGAGAGGCTCCTCCCTGTGTCCTCGCCTGCGCTTGGGACCCCTCGGACCTTCTGACATCACCACACGCTTGTGGCCTGAGCTGAGCACCAAGCCCCCGATGTCCTGGCTGTCACCTACCCTGGGGTCCGAGGCGTGTTCAAGGACCTCCTCTACCTGGAAGAATGCGCCTCCTGGCGTGGGGCCACTGCTTGACACTCGTGCTACTCCTTGGCCTCCCCAACCCTGGCCAGGGTCACGGCCACACAATTATGGGCGACTGAATTTCCCACTCTAGGGCAGCCCAGAACAACAGCTGGCACAGGTGGGGACCTGCTTCAAACCCCAGCCATGCCATTCACAAGGAGGGTGACCTTGGGCAGCAGCTCAGTGGCCCGACATTGACAAGGCTGCAGCGAGCGCCTGCCAGCGTTCAACACGACTGTCCACCCTACCAGCCCAGCTGCCCTGAGGACGGGGACAAGATGCGCGATGCCAGCCAAACTGCTGGCCCATCTAGTGCCCTCCCTGGACTAGAGAGGCCTCAGAGGCCGACCTTGGGTCCACCCCCAACCAGTGTATCACAGTGGGGGGGCCGATGAAAACTTCTGGTGGGGTGACTCCCTGAGGCTGGGCAGGGCACTGCGAAGGGCTGGTCGGGGACATGTCTGAACGCGCGTGTGCACACACCACAAACTACGGAAGCTCGTTCACGCGCATTCCCTGAGCGCCTGCCGTGCGTCAGGCTCCGGAATCAGCTTGCCTGTGGGGCTCACCGTCTGGCAGGACCGACACGGTATGAGTCGAGTGGGGGTTCAGTCGCCCCTTTGCGAGGAGACCGTTCGGGCCTGCTCACTGCACTACAACTGCTCGCTGAACTACAACCGCTCACTGAACTACAACCGCTGCCGCAACCCGACAGCGAGCGCCTTCGTCCTCGCCGCCTCGGACTTCGCTAACATGTTTACGGTCCGTCTGTCCCTTGAGACTGCTGGCCCTCACGGCAGGGGTCTGTCTCTCTGGCTCGTGGGTGCGTGCCAGGGCCCACACACGATACACGTTAGCAAAGTGCTGGGAAGGGGGAAGCGGGGCCCAACTACAACCGCTGCTGCAACCCGACAGCGAGCGCCTTCGTCCTCGCCGCCTCGGACTTCGCTAACATGTTTACGGTCCGTCTGTCCCTTGAGACTGCTGGCCCTCACGGCAGGGGTCTGTCTCTCTGGCTCGTGGGTGCGTGCCAGGGCCCACACACGATACACGTTAGCAAAGTGCTGGGAAGGGGGAAGCGGGGCCCTGATGAAACACCGGAGGGCCCGTGCGGACCAAGGGGGCAGGAGTGCCTGTCAGAAGGGGGAAGACGTCAGCTGAGATCTGAACGAGAAAGAGCCAGCCACGGGGGGCGGGGCCCTGAGGTGAGTGGGCCGAGTGTGTTCGAGACAAAGGCAAGAAAGTGAGCCTGGAGTGTGCGACCAGCAGGAGACGCCCCGGCCTCTGCCTGCCCGCCTGCCCTCAGCCTCCCCCAGAGCCAACAGACGCCGTGTCGGGTTGCACTGTCCCCCAAAAGTTACGTCCACGTAACAACACCCAGACCTCGTGGATGGAAATAGGGTCTCTGCAGATGGCATTGACTAAGATGAGGTCACACGAGATTAGGCCTGATCCTAATCCAATGACGGTGTCCTTACAGGGAGGACATTCTCTCTGTGGACAGAGAGAGAGAAGACGGCCATGTGCCAACAGAGGCAAAGACTGGAGCAATGCAGCCCCAAGCCCAGGTTGTCGGCACCACCAGAAGCTGGAGAGGCAGGAAGGACCCTCCCCTGGGGCCCCCGGAAGAAGCGCGGCCGTCCCGACACCCTGATTTCAGACTTCCAGCCTCCAGAACTGCAAGAGAAATTCTGCTGTCTTCATCCGCGTGCCCGAGGCCATGGCTGCACGCAAGTGATCGATGTGTGATTTTCATCTCAGGGAAGATGGCAGTCTGAGCTGATGGAGCATCTCTAACTGTGGGACCCCACCTTGGGTGTGTGCCGCTAAGAACCTGTTCTCCAGCCACGCTGACGTTAGGCTGGTCTGGGGGCAAAGCGTGCCTGAGCGTGCCTGAAGCGGTGTGTGTGTGTGCACGTGCGTGTAAGATAAACTCTTCGTGGCAAAGTGCAGTCTGGAAACGTGTGCCCTGAGTGCTGAATGACGTCTCTTGAAACAAAAATTATAGAAAGCATATAAAACAGAAACGAAGAGAAAGGCAGGAAGGATCTGCAAAGGACACAAACGCAGAACCAAGCGGCAGGTGCCGCGCGGCTGAGACGGGCTCACCTTGTTCCAGATGAAGGTGCCCAGGAGGTTGTTGTCGCCGAAGGGGTTGTCCGTGTTGGTGTAGCCCATGTACTCCTCGCCCCAGCCCATCTTCTCCCGCTTCTTCCGCTCCTTGGCCTCCTTCTTCGCCAGCCGCCGCGCCCGCTTCTCCTCGGGCGTCTCGAAGGCCTTCATCAGCTCCTCCTGCTGCTTCCGCTCCTCACGCAGCCGCAGCCGCTCCTGCAAGCTCTGCTGGCTCAGGGCCTCGGCCACCTCTCGCGAGTTCTGGGAGGGGTCTGCTGACGCCGAGCTGGACGTGGAGGAGCCCGGGGACCAGGAGCGCGTCCACCGCCGGTGGGCCCGATGTGCCCAGTGGCCCCGCTGCTGCTCGTTGCCCGAGTCTGACTGAGAGGAACGGTCCCGGGAGCGCCATCGGGGTGGTCGGGGGCTCCGGCTCTGCCGCCTCTGCCGCTGCCACTGGCCCTCCTCCGAATCGGACCTGAGGTCGGAATCACAAAGAACTGCTTGCTGCCGGCTGGTTGGTCAGACGCTTAGTGAGCGTCTGCTTTTGTGCCAGGCGCTGCTCTAAGTTCTGGGGGTACAGCAGTGACCAAAACAGTGACAGTCCCTGCCTTCACGGGGCTCACATCAACGAGTAAACACAGTGTGGTACTGGATAGTGCTTTGAACCGCAATGAATAATGACGTAGCATTAGGGGAGAGAGAGAGTCAGAGAGCATCTCCCCAAGGCAGTAACCCTGGAGGAAGTGGAGAAGGGAGCTATGGGGAGATCTAGAGGGAGGGTGATCCAGGCAGAGCGCATAGCAAGAGCAAATGCCCTGGGGCAGGAATTTTCCTGGCATGTTCGAAGAAGTGAGGAGGCCTGTGTGGCTGGAACAGAGACAGCAAGGGGGAAGGGGGCGGCTGAGGGCAGGGAGGTGTGCTGGGGCAGGCTGGTGCAGGAACTATACGTGTGTGAACCAGAGAAGCTGATCTGCCTGAGGCATCAAACGAGGGCTTACAAGGGAAGGCGGTGTTTCAACTGGTCCTACAGCATAGGCAGAAGTGAATGAGAGTAAAACCCACAGCGATAAAGAGCCAGGGAAGGGCACTGGGAGCAAAGAAGGGAATGAGTGAGCCCCTGGGGATGGATTCTTCGGTGTCTGGAGGCCAAACATGGAGAGGACCAACCAAATCTGTCTGTAGTTTGTTAAATGTTCCACTTATTAAGCTCAAGTAAAAAAATCTAAACTATGAAAATTAATTATTCTGGATCTCGTGAACATGGACTACAAAATTGATCAAATTTTCATAAACATCAATTACACATTGAGTGGCTGATCCCTGTGAATAATTCAAATGCTAGGAAACAGTAAATGAAAAAATACAAAGATGACGATATTGCTATACGCGAGCCAAAGCTAAAATATCAACACTGGGGCCTTAATCCTGGGTCAGCAAACTTTTCCTGTGAAAAAACAGCTCTGCCACTACAGTGCAAAAGCAGCATGGACCAGCGGTATGTAAACAAATGGGCGTGGCTGTGTTCAAATACAATTTTATTTCTGGACACCAAAATTTGAAGTTCATATGATTTCTACATGTCATAAAATATTCTTTTGGTTATTTTTTTCTTTTCATTTCTAAATGTAAAAACTATTCCTGGTCACAGGCTGCAGTTGGCTAAGCCCTAGTTTAAACCACCTCTTCATTATTTCTGTTCTGCTACTTCGTATCTTCCTGAAATTCCTGGATGGCAACAATCTTACCAGACTCAAAAGGAAAAGCCACCTTCTCAGCCTCCAGGGCGAGCAGCTGTGTCTGAGTACAGTCGCTCTGGCCATGGTGTGAACAGGTTGGAGGGATGGGAAACAATGCACGTCTGGAGAGGCCCGATGAAATCTCGAGGACACAGATGAGCCAACTTGGGCCACAGTGGCATAGAGACTGGCTTGAGCGTCACAGCCTGTTAGGGGCTGAGCCAGCACTGGGACCCAGGTCTGAGAATCAGTCCCCGTCACTGTGCTGGTTCCTTTGAGCTGGCCAGGTGCACCCTCTCCGTAAGAAAAGAACTGTGGCCATGGGGAAGCTGAGACCCAGGTCCTAAGAGTCAACTGAGTCCTGCCACCTGTACTCAATAGTCCTTCCCTCTTACACGCACCTCCAATAGCAAGTGTTGTCACCTCTACTTCCTGAAATCTCACTCGAATCGACCCACTCTCCCACTGTGCCTCCCCCACAGCCACCCTGTCGTGGAGGCCACCGCCGTCTGTTGCCTTGGACAACTGCAACATCCTTCTCCTCCCTGGTGTCACTTCTGCCCACCCCGTTAGTCAGTCCCTTTTCCACGCGAAAGCCAGAGGAAGTTCTACAACGTCAGTCATCCCACGTCCCTCCGAATAATGGCCGAACCCTTCGCCGCGGTACAGAACACTACACGACCTGGTCTGCCGCCTCCCCTCCCACCTCCTCTCCTACTCCCCTCCGCCCCGCTGTCCGTCCAACCACCAGGTGCCCCGCCTGGAGTGCTCCCGCTTTCCTTTCGCTGCCTGGCGTCTCCCTTTCCAGGAAGCCCTCCCTGACTAACTCGGGGGTCTCCCAGCTCCCCGAAGGCAGGAGTCGAGTCTGCACCTGCGCTCCCGGCTCCGCCGCCTTCGCCTGCGCCGCCCCTCGTCATCCCGGCGCCGGCGGCTTCGCCGACCGTGGCTCCCGCTCCGACTCCGGCTCCGGCTCCGCTGTCTGCGGCCCCTGCGACCCGCCGACCGCGAGCGCGAGCGTGTGCCGCGACCCATCGGCTGGGACGGTGGCGGCGGCGGCG